AACTAGAGAAGACCTGAGTAACATAGAAATGGTCTAGATTAGAGAGTTATCTGCTCTTCCTCTCCCAGAACACTACAGCAAGGGGACATGCAAGGTAATTAAAAGAAACTACCATTTCCCCACACAGTGTACTCTCATACTGCAGAATGCACTGCCACAGGAGGTCATTGAGGGCAAGACTCCTCCAGGGCTTTCCAAAAACAGGAACAAGAACATCTAGAGCCATTGTACTTAATAACCAAAATCTTGGAAGGGATGTGAAACCTCCTCCCTCAGTCCATCTCTGGCTAGCAGAGACCAAAATAAAACCTGGCATAGGGGATCATTTACCTCCCACCTGTTACTGTAGGGTCCTCACTCTTTCCTCTGGAACATCTGGAGCTGGACACAGTCAGAAGCAGGATGCTGGATTGGATGGATCTTGGATCTGATCCATCCTGGCAACTCCTACATTTCCTAATTAGATGCTCTGCCACATCTATGTGCACGTGCCTAATTTAATCTGTCTCCCTAGCCCTATCTAACCTAATCAAGGGAGCCATATATTTATAGAAGCATTTTCACTACCAGGTCCCTTCTCCTTTCAGGAAGTAGGGCCCACAGTAATTAATGGCTTCGTCACAGGAGATCACCCAAAGGTCACTATTTTCTAGCTTTTATATTCTGTTGATCCTCAACCTGCTGGATATCTGCTGAGCCATAATTCTCTAAGGACTCGTCATGGCATCTTGGGTGACTGGATCTCTGCTGGGCTAGGTTGTAGGGCGGTGAGCCTGCTGTCCATCTGGGCTATTATGGAAAGGAGGGGGTATAAGAACTGATATATGGAATCCAGTTTTTGATCACTGCTGGATTGCCATGAAAGAACTACTGCTCCCCAGGCCTTTGTTTGTTTGTGCCAAGAGATCTGTTAAGCTTTTAGAAAGGGGTCTTTTCACTCTTTAAAATTAAGTGGCAGATGTGGGATTATCTGCCCCCGCTGCTGCTGGGTGATGATCATGTACTGCATCCCTGGCATTCAGAAGGATGAATGCGTGTGTAGCAAGTGGGTGTATACACTTGCTTTATAAATAACACTAGTATTATTCTTCAGCTGGCTGATCAGCAGTCTCCCATCTCAGTGCTGCTGAATCCTGAGAGGAGATAATGTACTGAGAGTTCAATTGCAGGACAGGATACCAGCTCCTCCCCATTTGTGAATACAAATTTGCAGGCACTAGATTTGACAGTTAGGGGTGTGGGCTAGGAGTGTGTGATCTCTGTACTTTTGATGCCAAACAAGAATTTCCTCAATCCCTTCACTAGGCACAAGACTGATCCTAAGTAGGCAGACTAGACATGTTGTCTAGTCTAATAGCTCACTCTAAACTAGCATACCCAATGCATATACCCAATCCTTCTCCAGCGCCAGAAGAAAATCAGTTACCAGTGCTAGTAGGTGTTTGGTGGACAGAGCCAGCACTAACAGAGGCTCTGAGACTAGAAACCTGCTGGGGATATTTTTGCCACTGTATTTCTAAAATAAAATTGCCAGTGTTGAGAAACACCTTCATATCTCAGTTAGGTAAGATTTTTAAATCCCAAACAAGTGCAGGATAGTGGAGAAGCAGATAAAGTTTCATACTTCCTACTGTGTAGTCTTCCTACTGCACCATAAGATGAAAACCCCCTTGGAAATCACTAAGCACATGCCATTTCTTGCTGTATCCTCTACACATCTCACCATTTAAAAACCACATGAGGCTAGTTTAAAAGCCACATGGATTTTTGAAAATAATACTTTGAGCTTCTTTTATTTGCCATCTTATGTTTGAAACTGTATGGTTCATGTTTTTTGAGTTTTTCTGCACCACCTCAGGGGCTAGAAACAGTGTTTGGTTTAAAATGAAAACTGAGTGCCTCATCTAATCACTTGACTCCAGAAACTGGGATTTTAAGAATACCAAAGGACTATGAGCTAGCAATGACGTTGCAAGCATTTTTAGCAGCAGCATCCCTTAAATCCTTTGCTTGCAAATAGCAAACAAATACTAGGGGTGCACCAATAAAGATTTTTTGGGCTGATGCTGATGGTCAATTATTAACAAGCCATATTGGCCGATACCAGTCCAATTGCCAACATGCAGGCCGGCAGCTTAGAGAGTACCATCTGGCTGGCAAGTCTTTTGGGGGAAGAAAAGGGGCATGGGGGCTGCAGATTGAGGCCTCCACAGTGAGGGAGGGGCTGGGGCAGGCACTGCCCAGCCAGGGTGGGCCACAGAATGGGGCTGCAAGCGGTTTGTCCGGGAAGTGGGGGGGGGCCCACCACTGCATGCACCCCTAGGGGCAGCATGTGCCCCCAGATCTGTGCGCTCAGTGAGGGTGGGCTGCTTCTGCTAGTCAGAGCCAGGGTCAGGGGCAGCACAGAGCTGTTTCCAGCAGGAGTGATAGGCTGGGGCTGTGTTTGCCACAGACAGCAGCAGCACTGAGAGGGGGAGCTCAGGGGGGCTTGGGTTAATTTTGGGGTGGCTGTAGCCCCCCCCCTCCCATCTCTGCCTCCGCCTGCCCTGAGCTCAGCCCCAGCCCAGTCCCCCTGCTGGGAAGAGCCCAACCTCCGTCCGCAGCAGCAGCCTACCCTCACCCCATGCCCAGATCCAGGGGGCATGTGCTCCCCCATGCCTCCCCTAGGATGCGTACAGTGGCAGCAGCTGTCCTCCCTCCCCCCACCCAGCAGATGAGCCGCTTGCAGTCTAAATACAATTTGGACTGATGTATTGGTGGACCTCTAGAAAATAGATGGACTTTCCCAACAAGAGAGGACCTATTTCCTAACCCACCTCCCTCTACTTCTCTGCAGCCTCCTCTACAGGGGACTGTCTGGGGCAGGCAAGGGAAATGGGCCAAAATGATGTTCTCTAACAACCCTTAGTGGGCAGCAGCAGCCAACTGGTGGAGTTTAGAGCAGCTTTTATTCAGAACACGACAGTTAAGTACCCTACAACAGAGGTGTAATGCACTGTTACACCTCTGTAAGGTACTTAACTGTCCTGTTAAGTATCTTATGGAGTACTGGGCACCTGGGGCAGCAGTGACTTCTGGTTGCTACTGCCACTGCAATCATGATCTCATGGCTGTTGCAGTAGCTGGTTCCCCACCCTCACAAGATTGTACCTGGGGTAGATGCCATAGTTGCCCCAACTTAGTTACACCACTGGTACCTTGTATCTAGGTTGCAGTGGATGGAGCGCATCTGGGACTGTGCCAACACTGGGGAAGGAGCGGGCTGGCTAGGAGGAAGCATGGCCCAGTGGTTTGATCAGTGAATGAAACCTCAGTAGACCTGCATTTTTGTTCCTTTTCTGCCACAGACTTCCTGTGTGACCTCCGGTGGGTACCTTAGACCCAGATCCTCAGAGGTATTTAAATGCCTAACTCCCTCTGATTTCTGGGCTGTGGTCTCACTTGCCTTTGGTCCCCAGCCATAAAAGGAGGATAACAGCCCTGGCCTGCCTCACAGGGGTGTTATGAGAAATACACTGAAGACTGTGATGTGTTCAGATACTATGTGGACATGGCAGTGCATGAATCTCAGGCAGACAGGAGGGATGTGGTGTTGTCTGGTGGGTGGCTGTAAAGGGGTGTTTTTTGTTTGTTTTCTAAGAAGGTGCCTTTTTTCACTGGATCTTTCTCGGTCTTGTAGTGATGGGTTGGGCTGAAGAGGAAATGCTTCCTGAATGGGGCTGACACTGCAGCCGCTGGAATATGCAGGCCAGGGGCCTTCCTGGCAGTGCCAACAGAGTGGACTGTGCCAAGGAGCCAATTGCCAAGTTGCACAGGGGGGCCGCGGCCGGGAGGCATGGTGACAACTTTCAAGATTGCCGTGCTTGGGGCTCAAGGGGTTGGAAAGAGCGCCATCGTCCGCCAGTTCCTCTACAACGAGTTCAGCGACGTCTGCGTGCCCACCAAGACGCGGCGCGTCTACCTGCCAGCCGTGGTCATGAATGGCCATGTGCACGACCTACAGATCATGGACTTCCCGCCCATCACATCTTTCCCAGTTAACACTCTGCAGGTACATGTGCCAGTCACTGACCCTGTAATGCCTGCCAAAGGGAGATGCGACTTCTTGGCTACTGGCCCATTCTTATTGAGGAGTCAGTCCTGGTTTTTCCTCAAGGTTGCATGTGCTGTTATGACACAAACCCACTGCCACTGGACTCCTGCCATCTGATTCAGTAGTTGATACTAGTCCACAGCTGATGTTGTATTTTTGCATCTGCTTTCCTCTTAGAATTAGGATGTGTCCTAGGTGTGTAAGACAGGACTTGACTGTTAAACAAATGTTTAAGGGGGCTGCCGGGGAAAGGCTTGTTCTCGTGTTCCAAGTGCAGGAGCGAGAGTCAGGACTCCTGGGTTCTATTCCAGGAATCACAGCTTTGGCCAGAGCAAGTCATTATACCTCTTTCTTCCTCCATCTCAACTCTCTGAAACCTTTAGGTGGAAGATATTAAATCATCACAGCGTGTCATTGTTTCAGTTGGTAAAATACCACAATACCACAAAATAGGTCATTCCTGGTAGTCGTGCCTACAAGCCCTAGTTATTGACCAGCATGTCTTTGCACTACATACTGTACAAACACAGACAAAAGGGCAGCCCTTGACACAATCTAAGACGAGGCATATGGACCCAGACAGACAAGGCAATATTGCTCAGTGTGATAGGCACTTGTCTCAGCTTTCAGTAGCCTAGCCATTGCCCTTTTCTGGTTTTGCAGAAGTTGTATGTTAATGAGAGCTGTTATGCATTTCTTGACACACACACGCACGCACGCACACACGCACGCACGCACGCACACACACTGACCCTGATCATCCAAACACCAGCTAGTATGCCCACGTATCTAAGAAACCGCACTCGCGTCAGACATTCCCATTCTTATAGAATGATAGAAAATTAGGGTTGGAAGGGACCTCGGGAGGTCATCTAGTCCAGTCTCCTGCTTAAAGCAGGACTGTCCCCAACCAGATTATCCCAGACAAGGCTTCGTTAAGCTGGGTTTTAAGACCTCCAAGGGTGGAGATTCCACAACTTCTCTGAAAACCTATTCCAGTGCTTTACTGCCCTCCTGGTGAGAGAGGTTCTCCTAATATCTAACCTAAACTTCCCTTGCTGCAACTTGAAACCATCGCTTCTTGTTCTGTTATCTTCCACCACTACATGACCTACAGAACAGTTTAATGCGGGGGGGGGCACAAAATACAGCCCATGGGCCAGATCCAGCCTGCCAGTTGATCTCATCTGGCCCACAGCTGCCCCTGTGGTGGTCTGCATGGGGCTAAGCAGCGAAGCAGCCCACTCTGTGCTCCTACTTGCATCCACCCCATGCTTGCTGATGTCACCAGCCTGGCCTTGGCCCCAGCCTTGGCCAGTATACACGGCTTCCTGGTGGGGCTGCTTCTGCTGCTGCTGCAGCCACCCAGGGATTGCTCAGTTCCCCCTGCCTCCAGCAGCTCCTTTTCCTCCAGCCCCTGCTGCGCTGCTCTGAGCAACAGGCAGCGTGAGGAAGTGGCAGTGGCTGTGGGTGCGTGCACCAGGCACCACACACCCAGCCAGATTGGGGGAAGCTGCAGCCAGGCAGCTCCTGCCCCAGCATGCAAGGCTCCAGCTCCCAGCCCTCTTCCATCCACTCTACATGCCCGGTGCAGTAAGCAGCCACCTGTGGGTAGCTGAGTGGGTGGAAGGCGCAACAGGGGCAGGAAAAGAAGGAGCTGCTGGAGGTAAGGGGAGCTGAGCAGCAGCGGGAGCAGCCCTGCCAGGAAGCTGTGCACGCTGGCCAGGACTAGGATGGTGCCGTGGGCAGGAGTGTTATGCAGGGTGCCCCAGGCAGGAGCACAGGGGTCTTGGCCCCATGCAGAGTGCCATGGGCGTATCTGTGGACCAGAAGGTGAGGCAGACTTTACCTGCACCACACAGCCTTGGCAAGCTCTGCTGCACGTGCCCCAGTTCTTCCTCCCACCACCATGGTCAGCTCCCAGGACCTAGCACATGGGCAGCCCCCACTCACATGCATGCATACCCCCACATACCCACCTCATGCCCCCACTTCTCCTCCCTTAGAGGGAGCAGTCCTTCCCCCTCTTCTCCTCCCTTAGCTTTTGTTTCCTTGCAAGTTTGGCTCCAAAACTCCAAAATTTTCTGAAACATCTCCAAAACGTTTTGGATGGTTTTGTTTCGTTTCAGAGATGTTTTGGAGTCTTCTGTTTCATTTCGGATTTGGTGTTTCGGGCGCCAGAACGGGCCAAAGCCTGTCCAAAACAAAATGGCTGCTGAAGTTTTGCACAGCTCTACTGCTTAGCCAGTCAATCCCCAGCCTGTAATGGTGCATGGAATTGTTTCATTTTAAGTGCAGGACTTTGCACTCTTCTTTATTGGACCTCATGAGATTTCTTTTGCTCCAATCCTCCAATTTGTCTAGGTCTCTCTGAATCCTAGCCCTGCCCTCCAGCATATCTACTACTACCCTTAGCTTAGTGTCATCTGCACACTAGTTGAGGGTGCACTGTATCCCATCTTCCAGGTCATTGATGAAGATATTGAACAAAACCAGCCCCAGGACTGACCCCTGGGGCATTCCACCTGATGCATCTTACTGCCACATGCCTTCCCCTCTATACAGATCTGAATGTTTTGGATGCACTCAAATAATTTAGGATAATTTAGACATTGTCTATATTCCTGTGGGAGAGGGATAAGGGTGTCCCTAACTCAACCTAAGGATTTGCGTAACAGTAGGAAAGATGGCCTAGTTTCAGCAGAAAGTTGAAACACGTGCTTAACTTTAGGCACATGCTTAAGCCTCTGATTTAAATGGGACTTAAGCACAGGCTTACATGCTTCGCTGAAATGGTGCTAATGAGAGTGAAACTTGTTCACTTTCCCAGTATGATAAAAAGAGCCCAACAGTATGTTGATGGCCAGGAGAGCAGGATGTCTGCACTTTAGGACTTATGGGCTTAGTATGCGCTTATGGATTTAGTATGAACACCTGGCCTTGCGCTGATGCACAATCAGGGATTAACCAAAGCCCTGCTTTAGCATTTGATTTGCAGAGGAGCTGAGCCACACATTAACCTCAATGGCAGCTGCAGGCCGCTTCAAAAAACATTTGGTTAACTAACTTCTGGTACATATCTTAGCAAATGTTGACCTGTGTCTCTGTTCTTTCTCTTAGTAGCACACCAACAAAATCCAGTGTCCAGCTAAACTCCTCCTGAATTTCTAATCCATTGCTCCGCCTTTTTTGCCTTTCCCCATGTATTGTGTGATTGGATTTGCTAAGTATGGTAAGCTTTCTTTGTTCTTCAGGCAAAACAAATCTGGGGCTTTTTGAGGACATTGTGCTGCACCAACAGAAACAGGCTGTCCTTTTAAAAATTACTTCTCAGTAAGGTATTACATCCCCCCATCATCAATCTGCTAAGGGAAAGGCTGTGATAGATGACTTGTCAACCAACAGGCTGACGGGTGACAGAATATTGAGGATTTGGGAGCAACAAACCCTTTGGATCTTATTGCAACTGTGCAATGCAAAATTTATTGATTTTTCCCAGGAGCTGCAGTGCTTGAAGTCAGCACTAAGGTCGAGTCAGTTTGCTGAGACCCTAATTTTATAGCTGCTATCTTCAGGGTTCGTAGGGGATTGGTGGAAGATGAAATGATGTTAAGAGGTTAGGTTAGTGACTCCTTAGTTAATGTTACAGGAGATACCAGTAATTCCATGCTCTGGTTTTCCCCTTGTAAGAGATACTTCAGTGTTTCTTAAATTGCCAAATGAATAGACTACTCTCTATTACTACATTTCAAAAACATCTTTGAGGGCTAGAAAATCTCATACTTCTATTCAAATCATGGTTGAATCTTTGCAACGTTTCTTCTTCCCAGTGAGGAAAACAGGGTCCAGAAAAGTTTAGTGACTTGCCCATAGCTGCCCAATACGTCAGAACAAAAAGCGAGTTCTGACTCCAGCACCATGCTCAGTCCACTAGAAAACGTCCCCGTCCTGCAGACTTCCTGTTCTCCTGACATATTCTGTCATTTTGATTTGCTCTCTCAGAAGGGCTGTTATGTTGCGCTTTCAGGCTTGCTGGGGATTTAGTGTGAGCACCCGATATTGTTCCAACAGAGCACAAGGGATAAATCAAAGCCCCACCTTAGTAGTTTGATTGTTTCCAACAGTGCATTAGTATTCAGGAGTCAAGGCAAGAGAAAATGAATGCAAATGCCTAGGACTGAAGAGAGAGAAAGGAAGGGGGAGAGAGACAGAAAGTATTTACATAGCAGAGGTTTTCCAGATGGCAGTCCCATTTCAGTTCTGAGATGATGCTGTTTTCTGGCTTGTTGAGCCCAGTGGAGCTGCTTCCATTTTCCCACCTTGCACTCTAGGCACCTTACAGAGTGATGGCCAGGCTTTTCACTTTCTGTCCTAGATATAAGAGGATAGGGTGGAAAGGATTTGCAGACCTTATTTTGAAAAGTACTGAGCCTCTGCAGCCCCATTTGAAAGCAGTGGGAGTTTTCTTCCCCTGTGGCAGTCAGTTCTTCAGGTCAGCTGGATGTTAGGGGCTGTGCTCCAGTTAAGAAGTCTCCCTCCAGCCAGGCAGTACTGCACTAGGATAATGGTCTGCAGGCTCAGTCTCTCCTCCCCAGGAGTAGCGTGAAGCCCAAATCCTGGCTTAGCTCTTGCTCTATTCCTGGAAGAAACAAGGTGGCCCTTGCCTCCTGAGCTATTCTGGTACACACAGCAAAAGATGGCTCCCCCACCCACCAGCAGGCTTGTAAGTCTAATTTTCTCCTTCCTCAGAGCACAGCAAGCCCAGCTTGCTTCACTCTTTCACTCTGTTGAGACCTGTAACCCCCTGCTCTCTCCATCAGCTCCTCAGTACCGTGTGCTTGTCCTCAGTCTGTGCCTGAGGGGCAAATCAAGAACTGGTACCAAGAGGTGATGGAAACCAGCAGGGGTGTGCGGCAGAGTTCCCAGAGGGGGGAAAGAGTCCCAGCCCGTCTGTGCCC